ATATATAAATTATAAAAACTTCAAATTTATGTGGAAAAAGTGTCTTTTAGTCTTAGATTGGTCTTCACCTTTCTTAATTTATGTTATTGTTAAAAAAAGTTATATTCAATTCAATATTTTGTAGTTTAGAGTATATGAAATTATAAAATATTAGTTTTGAGATAGAGGGTCATCCCTAATTATCATATTATTCTTTTTAATTTAGTAATTAGTGTTTTATAATCTTATAAAATTTAAATTATAAAATATTTTTTGATTTATATTTTATAAAATTGACATGTATTCAAAAAGCTTTATGGAAAATAATCCTAAAGCTCATAAGGTAAGGAGTAACATAAATGGAAAGATAATCTGAGTATGGATTCTCTCAGTAAAAAGGAAAAAAATGCAGAGGAAATTTCTACAGTTTAAAAAAAAATAAATTATGGCAAGATTAAAAAAATAAATTTAGTTTGTCTTTTGTTTATCACATTCTTTAATATTTTAGGGTCTCTTGTCACATAATTTAAATTACACATGATTACAAAATAAAAACGGTTGGACAAAAAGAAAGTGTTCAAAATTAAAAAGTCTATCCCTCATTTAATAGTCTCTATTGTGCACTTTGAATTGCCTAACAATTTTTCAATGTTCTTATCAACCTCCTTTTTTTCTTTTTCTTTTTTTTTGTGATTCATTCATACTTCTCCCTAAAATTTAAGTCAAAAAAGAAAAAAAAAAAAAACTAGACTATCAAATTGTAATTGAGACTTACCCAATTCAAATTTAAAACATACAAAATAAGTTTTACTCCCTTAATGTTAATAAATTAGTCAATTTTGTAGGGAACATGTGCTTTATATGTATTTGTCTCAGCCTCTACCACATGCAAAACATACTTAGGAATACATTTGACTTTTGAAATTATTTCATTTTTAATACATCAAAGAATTATTATTTAATAGTACAAAAATTTGAATATCTAACATTTACTTCAAATTCTAAAATTATTCAAAACCTAAAATTTTATTCTAATGTATTCGAAAAACAAAAAGACACTTTTGAAGAAATTTGGATTTTAACAAATAAAGTTAGATGAACATGTACTAAAAAAATAAAGTTAAATGAGCTAACTTCAATTTTTTTAAAGCTCTTCTTCTTCTTGTTAATTTTAGAGGGTAAGATTCTTTCCCCACTTATGAATATACTAAAGATTCTCCTAAATGAGTTTAATAGTATTAAAGAGGTGACACGAGCTGCAAAATCTTGTTCACTTTCATAGATTATTCTAGAGAAAATTAAGAGATTCTTTTTGGCCTTTGAACTCAGACAAACATTGAGTCAAAGTCAAAGCGGAAGAGACTGAAAGTGAAGGGAACAGTAGGCACATGGTTTTGATGGCTTAAATATCACCTTAGAAAATGATGTTAAGTTCATAAAGACAGCGCAGCCAATATATATAAAGATAAAATTTTGGCAATAGGGGATGTAGTTCAAATGGTGGAGCACTCGCTTTGCATGCAAGAGGCACGGGGTTCGATCCCCCTTATCTCCATGTATTTTTTTATTTTTGAGAAAATATAAATTTGCATATAGATAATCCAAATGATACAAATGCAACAAAATAAAATTTTCATATTTGGCTTGTTTAATTAGATTATTGCTTTGACAATGATTCATATATAATCTGATCCCTTATTTTCCATCTCTCTTCCGGATGATTATTATCTTCTCGGCAGAAATGTCTGAACTAGTTTATCACCCACAGTCAGACATCCTGAGCCTTGACATCATAGAAGCAGGTTGAGTTTATGCTGCAATTTCACATCCTACTGGATGCATTCGTGAACCAAGATGCTAAAGAATATTTCCAAAGATAGAGCATGATGGACGATTAGAAAAGGTTCCATCTTTTCTTTATATCAGATTATTGTCGTGTCCAGACTTGATAATCTGATCCTTTGTCAACAAACTTCTGCCAGCTTCCCTCCAACTGGTTTTCCTTCGAGGGGTTCCAATCAAAATGGCCTAGTTTTGTTATTAGTGTATCACCTATCCGCGCAACATAACCTTCATTATTTGCATGGTATATTGTGACAGAGCTTCGGCAATTGACCCCAGCCTGCTTTCTAGTCTCTATTAACTCAGTTATGATGTCACGCAAGCCAAAATCATAGAAATGGTCATAGAAGATTACAGGCTGAAAAACAAACAAAAATGTTGTCATATTGGTATCTACTTATTTAGAGAAGCAGTTATTAGAAGAAATTATTAGAGAATAAATTTCTGAACTCCAGGCAGAGAGTAGTTTCTAGAATTATCTTCTTTATGGATTGAATGACAAGAATATTATAAGTGGTTTCAGCAATAAAGAGCTTACTGTTCCAGGATGGGTTAGAATGTATGCATATCCTTGTGCAAGTTTCTCACGTGGAAATGGCCAATGGCCCTGAAATAAAACACGTGTGAGAAACATTTTTAACCATGCTCTGGGCTGATCAACAGGGTAAACAAGATCAGTGAACTGTTATCATATTCAAATAGATTGATTTTTTGGAATAAGCAAACATGAGGGGGAAACAAGGGTGGTCTACATTCCAGAATTTATGGTCAAAATGCCTCCCCTACCCATTTTGCAAAATTTTAAGTTAAACCCTTTAACACAATCTACATCATATAAATCAGTGGCATGCAAGAAGATATGTACATGTACGTTTTCCCTGTGGAATGAGAAGGGGAAAGCTAAGAAAAAGATCAGAACCTGTGTTGATCCTGTATCATGGTTCTCCAAAAATGTAACTGCACGCGATGGCCACCATCCCATCACACCCGGTGGTTTACCTTGAGGATCTATCAACCTCCAATACTCATTGTGCAGAGCAGAGTGAAGTATCCCCTTCAAAGGCATGATAAGTTACATCAATTTACGTGTGGTGGAGAGAGATGGTAACTGGACAACAAAAATTACTACCATGTGACAGATGATCATATCATGTCCAAGGGAAAGATGGTGGGTGGTTTTACCTATGGCTGCCTAAATTTCATATTGCTGAATCACAATTAAATTGTAAAGTAAATTACAGTGATGTTAGAGATTGTTTCTTATCTTCAATATGCCAAACTTACATTCCACTAATTTCAATTTCTATGCTATTGTATCTAACGCATGTGAAATGCCTAAATTAAATCTAGCTCAGTCCTGAAATACCTTTGTGGTAACATCAAAAGCTGAGGAAGTACCACCTGTGGCATTGATCCAATTGACTATCCGTTGCCGATGAGCATCTAGTGATGTGAGGAGAGTACAAATTATCAGAAGTTTACTCCCATCCAGATTTGAAACAAGATAAGACAACCATGTCAGATATTTAGTATGCAGTAGTCAGAGATTACCTTGGTTGTAACACAGGTTACCATTTTCATAAGCCAAACTATCCCAATATTCCCCAATGGCAAATGCAGGATTAGAAGCTTCAATATATTCTTTCACGTAAGTGCCCGAGAATCCTCTGCAAATAAAGTAAATGAGTAATTAGTTACCTGATACTAATATTTGGGCATAATGATACAGATGTGGTTCAACTCGCGGAGTTAGTTTTTGAATTTATTAAAAAAGAATGGAAAGAAACAGCGGTTTGGCCACTTAAGCACAGCCGGAGAAATGTGATTATGTTTAATATTTCTGAATGAGCAAATTTAATTCCTGGAATGAAACTAAAGTATGAAGTTAAGCTAGTCCTTGACAGATGTTTACACTGAAGTTTTCATAAGCTATGGTTAACAGCAAAGCTTGAACTGCCATAAGCTTTATTCAGCTTCTCTCCTGATATGGAGTGTTAGCTCGTAAAAGTAATTAAGGTCAACTCATGTGCAAAAAACCAACCTAGTTTGAACCTTCTGTTATTTTCTTTTTGTGAATGTGTGCATTTTAAATATTTCGAAGGATATAAAATACTTTACCCATACCAGTGTTGAAAAGCCAACAACCGGCGAGCATATGTTAATATATGGTACAAAATTATAAACATTAAGGCTTAGCTATTCCTCGCTTCCCAAACAAATTTCTCAAATTTGTCATTTTTTCATGATTTGACCAAGAAATAGCTACTACCACCAACCAAACATGACCAAAGAATAAACATGAACTGGCTATCCTCTAACACATCCCGAGAGTGATGTTCACTCTGACCAAAAGACTATCTAAATAATTCACCTCTGAACATATCTCTAGAAATTCTTAACTGAATTTCAAAAATGTTGGTGTCTTATGAATTTGAAATAGGTGAAGAAAGACACATAAGAAACAAGGAATTCACCGGACAAAGTCAAGACGCCATCCATCGAATCGAATATCACTCCGTAGCCAGTTTAACCATTCCTTTATATCACTTCGAACAAATTCCTGAGAATGATCAATGTTTGGGGCTGCATGAAATATATCACCTAGTAGCAAAAACAAATCAGTTAAAAATAGAGAAAGCTCCATTTTTTCCAATCTAATACCTGGAATAATAACATGCCATCAGTAAATGTATGTTGGAGCAATATAGTTTATTTTATACACCAGACTCTCTTCGAGTCATCTTTCAAGGAAAACAGATTTGGTAGATTATTAGACTATAGGAAAATCCAGATCTTGATTTATCTTTTACAGTATTTGCAAAATCTCAAGACAATGCTTTGCTAGAAACAGCAAAGTTTCCCAGGATTATATTCGGTGGTTCCCATTTCATTTTCTTACAGGTACAAAATGAATATTTTATCATATAAATACCACTTGAAGGATTTCCACAGCCCTGGAAATTAGGATCATCACAAACAATTGCTTCCGGCCCCCATGCAAGCTTGCCACCAAAAATATTCCAGACACCATTTGGACTCTGAAATTAGCAAACTATCAGTTTGCACTACATGACCTGCAACATACTCATAAGTTCATGTCATAATATTCTAATCTACCATCAGCTCCATAACTTGAGACCTCTAACAGAAATTGAGCATTGTCTGCTAGATGTTATGATATGGAAGAATCCCTAATTATTTACTGGAAAACTGCCAAAAGAAAGTAAACAATATTCCAAAATTCTACCATTTAGACTATTGAATTCCATTTGTATCTATGGAGATTATCAACACAGAGAGGAGAGGACTACTGTTAATAATAGAATAAGGATCAAACAATTTGGTGTGGTAGTAAACAACCAAAAAAGAGAAGGAAATGAAGAAGAAACAGGAAACTAACTTGTTTTTTTGCACATCGGTGATTAAGCACAACATCTCCCAATGCCTGCATTAATAGGCAAACGGTATGTAAAATGGGCAAGAATAAATGACAACCAAACTAACATAAAGGGAAAAGAGATTCTTTGTCTCATCCAAAATTGGAATCAAAAAATATTTATGATTTGTAAAAACAAAATTTGGGTGGAACTTCAACAAGATTGGCATGATGAAAATGATCAGAGTTGTGTTGAGTAAGGACCACTTTGTTCTCCTACACAGCCATGCAAAGCACAAAACAGAAATGCTTAAACATAAGTATGAAGAGAGTCCCTAAAGTGATCAAAATAGAAACTCAGCTATCTTATGTTCTGAAAAATTTGCAATTGCATTCTTCCAAGCTTTTTCTCTCCACCTCCCCTCCCTGTTTAGTTTTCATCCATAAAAAGTTACGAAGCAACCCCATAAAGTGATCTGCAATCAACTGTGATGATTTAAAAAGTCCAATGGCTTGCCTCTTTAATACACCCATGGGCAATAAAGTGGGTCAGGAAACCATATAAAAATTATTTCTAGGTCAAAACTTTGTTTAAATCCATATATATAACCGCGTCATAAAATGCTTCCAACTGAAATACTAATCCCTGTATTGAGTGAATTAAACAGATAACAACTGGATTTTTTCCCAACACTTTTTAATAGCTCAAATATAAAAACGATTTTTATCCATGAAGAAACTCTTTATATATATATCATTCTTAGAACCACAAGAAAACACTCACTCTTATATTAAAACTTCGTGCATAAGAAGCAAACAAAAAACAGTTCCCAAAGTCAACCAATACAACCGAATATTAAGATCACAATGTACCAGGATGTCATGAGCATGCAGCTCCTCTATACAGTGTTTCAGTTCTTCCATGGATCCATACGCTGAATTCAAGTTGTAAAGGTCAGAAGGCATGTAACCTGCATATTAGTATGCAGCTTATGAGAATTGTAAATTGATCGCTAAAGAGATACATGCAAAATAAGTCATTAAAAATTCTTTAAAAAAATGGAACTCTAAAATAGAGTAGGAACATATAACATTCAGAACCATATTCATATATTTATATGTGAAATACAGAAAGAACAAAACTACTTGAAAAACAAATGGTGATCCATGCCAGATCAGACAACATTAAGCACAGATGGCAGGCTGTCTAAAATGGCATTACTTATGAGCATGCAGTAACAGAATGGTGCTTTTATAAAATCCTGAAATCAAAAGAAAAAACAAAAAATCATAAATGAGACATATTGAAAGTGTTCATGACATACCTTGAGGGGCAACAGATTCTGTTGGTGGCGGGAACCATACTGCTGTGATTCCAGATTGAGATAAATCAGCAGCTTTAGGAGCTAATTCCAGGTACCACTGCCTTCTCCAGCTTTCCCAGTTGAAACCTTGAAACTTAAGGATTGATAAATTAAGATTAATACCTTGTATTTTTTTATAATGGATAAGCTTGTTCTGGAGTTACAACACATATGCTCACCACAATCTCTCTTCCTGTTCCTGTTCCTGGTTCTGCATTGAGTTCCAAATTAAAATATATGTTAAACATTGACACGTTCCAGGAAGCTCTTATGAGAATTTTTTTTTATGGCAGCTCCTATGAGAATTTATAGAGAACTATTGTAGCAGCAAACTAACCAGATTTTGCTTTTTCTGGAGTGCTCTCCCATTTAGTTGTCTTCCGTTTAAGCGCACGTTCCAGAGCCTTCCGTTTCTTCTCTATTGTCTCCTTCTCAATTACATGCTCTATAAGTACATCACCTTCTCTTGGCTTTTCTTGAGCAATTGACCACACCTCATCCAATTTGGGCAATTCCAAGGATCTAAAATTTGATTCTAAGGCTTCAGTTATGTCAACTTTTCTGGGTGGAAACTTGGGACGAATTGCCCAGATCCTCCTTGCCATCCATTGAGGTACCTCCCTACGAGGACCATCACTCAAAAGTTTCCATTTTTGTGAATCATCATCAGCCAAAAGGTCTATTCGTCCACCATTAACAGTGTAAATGACATCCTCATCCTCTTCACTTTGAGGTCCATCATTCAATAGTAGCGACTCTGCCATCTCTGCTCTCTGTCTCCATACCTTTAAAGCAGATTCTGAGGCCCTTATTGATCTCTGTAATGCTTGGCAGCTTCTTGCGTAGACAATGTCCTTGGAACGTGTTGTTTCTTGGGCAGCTTCAATGGCAGCCTTGATACTTTCCAACTCTGCCTTTAAAGACTCAGAAACAGCCTTCTCTCTCTGTTCAGCATCTTTCCTCATTTTCTCCAGAAATAACCTAATCTCCTCTTCCTGTTCAAGAGACTTTTTCCTGCTTGACTCTTGAAATTCAACCAATGCTTTCTCTGCATCATGGGCTCGGAGTTCAGCTGCATTTGCTTGTGAATGAGCCTGTTGCAACTCCAACTTCAACCTATCAAACTCGCTTTTTGCAAGTAATAACTGAGATTCTAAATCATTCACAGCACTGTGTAACTCAATATTTTCAGACTGAACAGAAGAAATCATATCAACGGGATTTATATCATCAATAGAAGCTGCAGCAGATGTTGTTGCATGTTCCCCAGCTCTTTCTGCCATATCAAGGGCCTTTGCTATAGCATCTTTTGACTGCTCAATAACAGATAATATGGCACCTTCAGTGGCGTTTCTTATTTTCTCTTCAATTTGATAAGCTGCCTCAGCAGCTGAAGTCTCTGCGGCTGAGACCCTTTGTTGAGCATCATCTAAAATGTAAGATGTAACCTGATGGAAAGTATTTTCCGCCAACTTTTCAACTTGCACTGCAAGTTCAACAGCATCTTGTTTTGCCAGAACCAACTTAGACTCCAAGGAAAACCTCTGTTCAATAGACTCCTGCAGCTTCTGATGGAACAGAGATTTGGCCGACTCCAGTTCTGAAATGGCCACATCCTTTTCATGCAAAATGGAAGCCACATATTCCTGATTCCTGGATTCCAAACGAACCAACTCTTCGAGCAACTGGTCTCTTTCTTTTTCTAGGACTTCTTGCCTAACCTTGGCCTCAGAAAGAGCCTTTCTAGCAGCCATCAATTCATCCCCTTCAAACACTTCATTCCGTGATGAATATTCATTCCCATTACCCTGATATGAAATTTCACCAGTCACGGATCAGATTCCAGCAACATGTCAGATTATTCTATCTTTTACGTTAAACATAGTCCTAACAATACATTATTAATCCTTTTTTACACATGGAACCTGTTTAGATTTTACCAGCCATATTGCATACATTATGTACAGAATTCAACCCAACTCTTACCTTACTTGACACAACATGAGTTCTTGATCTCCAGAACCAGTTGCCAGTATGTAAATACTTTCTGCAAGAACTGCAGTTTCAAGCTCATTAACTAACCCAAATGTTAAATGAACAACCAACAGTTATCATTTTGCAAAGAAGATCAAATGACAGAATGACTGAGCATTAGTTTACCTGCTATATGGACTTCTAAAGATCACATGACGCGGCCTAATACCCAAATTCCTAATACACCCACCATCATTACTAGAAGAAACCACAGTGCAGTGTAGAGGAATCCAAAGTGCCCCAGCAGGTGATGAGATGAAACCCATTTCTTCCTGTCAAGAAACTACCAACTTTGGACATCCAAATTTCACATATACTAAAATATGGCTAGCAAGGACTTATCATTTTCACCATCAGGATGAACAAGTTCCCATCTTTCCTGTTTCAATGATCCAAATAGGAAATTAAAAGAAAAAAAAAGAAAAAAAAAAAAATCAAAATCACTTGTGAAAACTTAAAAAAGTTCTACTCCTAGACGTATATTCCACTACAGAATTTATCAAAAGGAACATGTTGATGCATACATTATGCAGAATCAAAAGGAGCTAACACTATTTATGCAACAGATTCAAAAGAAATGATGAAATGGTGTGATGTCAAGGGCTGAGTTCAAAAATACCTGAATTAGAGGATCGTAACTGTATCTAAGATTCTAAGGTAAATGAAGATTTGTGCATGTTGTTTGAGAAAAAGAGGAAAGAGATACGGAGATGTTCGGGACCGTGATAGAAAGAAGGAAGCAAGAGAAGAGATGAGATGCAATGGCGCGGAAACTGTGGAAGTTTACGTGGTGCACAGTGTTAGCGTAGGAGAGAAGATTGAATGGTTGGGTAGTTACCGTTCTCTTCTCGAGACATTAGGCCCAAGGTGTAAATACTTGAGGTTTTTTTTTAGTAAATAAAAATGTAAATACGGTCGAGTTTGGGATGAAGCTTCTGGTCCACTTGGCCCAAATCACGAATGGATAAAGCGCCCTAACTTTAAGACAAGGAAGCTTCCCGCCACAGCCGACAGTGGTTTAAAAAGTCAATTACCTTTCTGTACCAAAATAAAAACAAAATCAATTACCTTTTTGATGGTTTTAAAAAAAAGGGTTGAACGTTAAAAGCATAAAAAGAGAACCATATTCCCTTATTTCATGCTTGGAAATAGAAGAATAAATTAAAATTCACTTAATATCAAGGATTTACTTATTATTAATTTGTTTTATAAGCTAAATTTAAATTTTAAACATAATAAATTAACATAAAGAGAAGTTAATTTAAGAATATTGTAATCATAAATGTTAAAAAAATTAAAAGTTATTTGTACACAATTTTTATATATATTGTTTATACAAAATGTTAATTATTTATTTTTTCTTATAATATGTTTGGTTTAAAGAATATAAAGAAAAAAAGAGAAAAAAGAAAAAAATTTTAATTAATCAAATTATAATATTTTTAAATATTACAATTTGATTTATTAAAATATTCTCCTCTTCTTTATTTTTCCCAAACAAAACATACTATCAAGGAATAATATTGAAGTTTGGCTTGAGGACTATTCTATGAATCCTTTCTCAAGCTATGAACTTGAATTTCTTTACTACTATCTAGGAAATTAGTTCGAGGTATTCTTATCACTTTGTAATCATCATTGATTGTGTCATATTCAAATTCACAAGTCGGATAATTAATAGCGTCTTCCCCATGAGGTGGGTATAGTGCTCTTTAGTTGATACATCGCATAAAATGATGTTCCCTAGATAGCTTAACAAAAGTCAAGCAATTACATGAACCTCCATCAAAGAACACCCTTATTTTGAGGTGCTGCTTTATCGCTTAAGTGTCTTCGCTAGTTAGTGACGAAGTATGTCAATCAGCACATAAACTAGAACTTCCTTGGTCGCCATTGTTTTATTGAATTCAATAAAAGACATTATCATATGTAAGAAGCAGAAGTTTTGTTGCATGTTACTTAGAAATAAGATATTTATAAAATTTATCTCGTTTTATTTTAATTTATTATACACGTAATTTAAACTCGAATTTAAAATTTTTAAGCAGTATGCACTTAAGATGGTTATCATTTTAAAAATATTAGTAGTGTTCAATGAAAATTTTGTTTTACAATTCAAATTAATTTAAATTATAAAATATGAATCATTTAATAAAAAAAATTTTAAATATCAAGAAACTCAACTCTTATCTAACCGTTAATATTTTATAATTTAAATTAATTAAGAATATAAAACACTTTTTCCACGTTAAATTACAAGGTACAATTATATACAAAAGAAGTTCCTAGGGGAGTTAACTGTAATTTCATTTAAATAATAATAATAATAATAATTTTAAATAAATCTTAATTAATCAATTTTATTGAAGAAAAATGGATATATGATTTGTCACGTGTTATTGCCACGTGGCAGGAAACAATTGGACCTCAATACAAGATGCGGTATCCACCCACGTGCCGGCAACTATATACGGAGGAGTACAATTCTGAACTTTAGTTATCCGGGAGCGCGAAGTATCGATTCCAATCTCCTGAGAAGCCGCCGGAACGGCTACACACAACTGGAGCAGTAGTTCTCATAAGTTGCGAATTGAAGAATTTTTATTTTTTAGTTTTCTCAATCAGAAGAAAACGAGCGAAAAGAATCGAAGAGATGATGGAGGACAACGGAGCTAGGGTTTCTTCAGAAGAATCGGCGGCCGCTGATGCTTCACAGCCAAGGCAAAGGTATCGAATTGTGATTAAAAAACCATAGCTTTATGTATGTAAATCAATGTCGGATATATATATTTGTTAAAGTAATTAATTATTCTTTGCTTTGCAGGAAGAGAAGAAAGTGGGATCAGCCTGCAGAGGCTTTGGTTTCGGCCGGGATTGCGCTTCCATTGGGCAACGCCGGAGCTCTTGGTGCGATCTCGGGTGCTTTTGTGACAAATCCTCTTGCGGTTGGTTCCACCGCTATTTCCCCAATGCTTCAGCAACATGCGACTGCAGTGGTACCAAAACTAAATCAAGTAAGATATGTAAATCACTGTTAAATGACATTAACTAAATTGGAATGTTGTGGATGTTTTTGACTGAAAAGGTAATGCTTGGGGCTTCTATTAAGATGGCAAGGGGGTGGAATATATCCTGTTCCAGTGACCATGGATGTTCATTTTCTCCATGCCTGGCCTTTGCTTTCATTGCGTTTTGATGATTCATATATATAATAAACTTGTTGGTGTGAAACTTTTTTTCTTGTTTATTTTGTTTGTTTTAGCATAAAATCCAGGATGAGTTAATAATAGCACGGGAAATTGTAATAAACGATGCTGAATCATCTGTTCGCTACAAGCTCACCAAACGCCAGACACAAGAAGAGGTAACTCTGATGTTGCTTGGTTAGGGAGACCAAAAGAAAACTATGTCCCAATGCTTCAATTTTTGGTTGAGGCAAATGGTTCTTTTTGTTTCTTTTAGAGATTGCTAACTGTCCTAATGATCTCTCAGATACAAAGATGCACTGGTGCAGTGGTGATAACCAGGTATCTGTCTCTTAGAAATATTTTTGAAAGTTTCTTAAGGTTCCTTATTTTTGTGTCTGTTGAATCTCTAAAATGTTCTTCAGGGGAAAGTATCGTCCTCCCAATGCACCAGCTGATGGTGACAAGCCATTGTATCTCCACATTTCTGCTGCTGCTCATGTAAGTGTATTCTGGAGCATTGGCAAGGCATTTTCAATATTTTGAGTTTCATTATGGCTTTATGATTGTTGTTATACAATTTAATTCATCAATAAAAGTTTAGAAGTCACCATATTTAAAAATGATTTCTAATTCAATCTTGATACTATTTTGGTAGTATTATAACTGAGTGATTGCCCTTGACAGCTTTCAACATCATAAATATATTCATCAGTTAAGATTAAATTCTAAATTCCAGTTTTCTTTCAAAAGGAATTTGATGATCTTATAAAGCCTTTTGAAGTGCCAATGCAGTTAAAAGAGACAGCAGAACGGATTTTAGCTGTTGATCGTGCAGCTGCAATGGTTGAAGAAATGCTGAAACAGGGTCAAGACTCCCCAGCAGTTTCTTCGACTTTTATGACAGCTACGAGCAACAGTGTAAAGGTATACACCATTGTGCCTCCAGTTTTATAATTCATTACATTGAGGTTATTGAAATTTCATGCAATGCTTGAATCTCTAATGGATTCTGGTTTCAGGTTCTGAGCACGTGTGTGCATTTAGGCTTTGATGCAGACCCATCTTGGAACATTGCCGCTCGAATTCGTGGGCCAAATGTATGTGAGACTTTTTACTTTTGTTTCTTTTCCAAAATTTTACTTTGGACAAATAATTTAAGAGAGATTGCTTTTATCTCTGATATTGTTTTGTTGTCTGTTTTTCTCTGCTTATAATAATTAGAGAGCATTTTCTATTGCTTTATCAACCTTCCCCCAACACCTGCCTGAACAACATGATGTTGTTTATTAGTTTTTATATTTGTATTCACATGATTAAGCTCAAAAGATTCTAATGTCTAAGCTTTCCCTGACATCTCCATACAATTGGGGGAGCATGTTTTTGTGTTGCTGGTGGTTCGGTTTTGTGCTTGCAGGACCAGTATATAAATCACATTATGAATGAAACAGGAACAACTGTCATACTAAGAGGTTGTGGTTCAGGAAACTTGGAGAGCCTGTACACTGAAGGTGCTTGTTTTCTGTACAGAATGGGACATTGTTTTCTAGCTAGCTTCTGAATTTTCTGCTGTTGTCTTACATCATCTTTGAAATATTAATGCCAATTATTCTTGCACTAGTCACAGAAGCACAGCAACCGCTGCATTTGTTTTTGTCCAGTAATAATCCTAAAAGTCTTGAAGATGCAAAGCGTTTGGCAGAGAATCTCCTGGACACAATCAGTGTAGAGTTTGGTGCATCTAGGTAAATAGGTTTCAATCACTTTCATTCTAATCATCAAGTCATTGCTCTCTCATGACTGTTTGCTTGACAATTTGTATGTGTCTTAACTTGTTTTCTCAACTGTGCTAGGGCTTCATTATGTAAGGTTTATGGTGCTGTTCCCCCACCCCAGAATCTGTTAAATGGAGTTCAAACTTCTGGGAATGAACAAAAAATGGATCCTAGTCCAACTGCTGGTTTGGCATCCACAGTTGTCACTGCACCTGCTTGTCCAGTTACAGTTCCTGGGTTCACTTCAGTCTATTCTCAAGGGCCTGTATTACCACCTGGGGGATTGTCAAACTCTGGGCAGCCCCAGGTGAATGCAATTGGTTATCCTCAGCCTGTACTGTCTGGTGGGACAAGCTATACCGGGTATGAAGGGATATACCCTCAGGCAACCCCATTACAACAAGTAGCATTAGCTCTTAGGCAGTCACCTTATATAACTGCTACAGTTACTCCAACAACGGCCACATCAAATACAGTTGCCTCTATGATGTCATTTTCAAGCACTGCATCAAATTCAAGTCTTATCTCTGCTTCTGATTCTGAGAATGAAAAAAAACCTCCACAAAAGCGGAAGTTTCAAGAGTTACCAGTTGGTTCCAAGGGCCCCACAAACTCTAACCAGGTAATGATGTAATGTTTCCCTGCCAATTTCATTTCATCAAAGCCATATGGTATAACTTCTATATTAATTTCGTATCTTTCTATCTAGTGCTGGAAAAGAATTAGACAAATGAAAATTTAAATTTTGGCTGTGGATGATGTCCTTGTTAATCTTTTTCTTTGTTGACCTTGAGATTTATAAACTTCTTCTGAGTACTAGTACTGGTGAGTGAGCAGATACTGGATAAATTTTGTCCCATCCTAATATTGCTCTTATGAGTGCTGATAAAAAAATATTGCTCTTATGAGTGCTGATAAAAAAATATTGCTCTTATGAGAGCAAGCCTAAATTAGACTGTAAGGAAAAAACTGACTCTTAATTTTGTCTCTCATGTAAACTACTCTGGTGATATCAATGATTGATCAGGAAGGAGAGGAACTAAAGAATTGGTAAGTTAATAGAGTAGTGGATAATTTTATTAAATATGAGGGTGGAACTTGTGCGAGGTTTTGGATTACTGTGGAAGATTTATTTGTAGTCTGTCTGTGTACGCATACTCTGGACAGGTTATCTGTCCAATAGCAGACAAACTGCCCTCTCCCCAAATAACCCTCTTTCCATATGTTAGGATTCATATGCAGATGGAAAAATAAGATAGATGCAATCCTTTGTATGAAAAGAAGAAAAAACTTTAATAGTATAATTGCATATTCTGGTTTGTGCTGACCTTTGTGAATGCACACTGCTTTACTGTGTTTTCTTTGTATAAATCACTCCCCATCCTGTCTTCTTTCCTCCCTGGGGCCAGTTTTTCCAGCAAAAGAAACTTTGCGAGTAAATGCTTTTGATGCATTACTTTGTGTTTGTACCCTAAGATGTATTATTATGTTGTGCCTGACCTTTTCTGCTTATTATTCCAGGTATTTTCTCTGACCTTCTAAGAAGCTAACTGGCTGATACGGGACCTCTGTTAGGGCCATTGGTTTGTATGTTTCACAGGGTTTCTAGTTTCAAAGGAGCAATTTGATGGGCCTTTTCTGCTTCAAATCTATGACCTCAGGAATTTATTTACACTAATTATATATCCGTGTCATGTAGGACACAAGTTTTGCATTTTAGTGTTGCATCTTCTAGTGGTGGTCATTGCTAGTATGCACAACTTAGCTTCGCTTATAGACTCTAAAAGCTAACATTTTTAAATATAGTGAATAGTTTTGGTTTTTTCACCATTATCACTTAAAAGCAAGGTTTCCCCTAAAAGTTCACAAAACATGTAAATGTAAGTGAATGATAGTTGATGTTTCTTTGGCTGAATTTCTTGAGGTCCCTCTCATTCTAGTTCTTTTAGATGATGACAAGCTGCAAAGATTTAGCCACAACATTTGTTATCCCCCAGCCTTAAGTGTCCTAAGTTCTGCTCAGTCCAACAATGCCTTGTGTCATCTTTCACAAAATATAGCCTCTATAGCTTTCCTACCATAGCACTAAAGCCTAAAGTCATTTTCATTGTAAATTGTTTTAACAGAGTTACACATTATCCATTATCTAAGTGTTGTTGATAGATTAGACTTGGATTGTTCTTTCACAATCATTTCAGGGGCCTGAAATCTTGAAGCAAAGTGAGCCTTCAGTAAATGGTGTAAAAAATGTGGCAAACATGCCTGCCCCAAAGAAGATGGTTCAGTCATTGTCTGATGGAATGCCACCACTGCCTCCAAGAATCATGCCTCCTCCTCCTTCAAGAACCCAGTCACCACCTCCACCAAAATTTAATTCATCAACTGCTGGGAACTTGCACGAGAAGAGCAGTGTAGCAAATAAAGTTAAATCTGATAGTGTCCCTGGTAAGTATGGATTCAAAATTTTCTTAGTTGCTCCTTCTGTTGCTAATCTGACACGTTAGTACAGGGAATGCAATAATATTTGTTAAAAACTACAAGTATTGTTTGTCCTTTATTTTGAAAAGGGTGGATAGCCTTTCAAATGTATGATCTGATATGTTTTAGTTGTTTCAGATACTCTGGTGAAGTTAATGGAATATGGAGATGATGACGAGGAGTATGAGTTTGAGGAAGCCCGTGATGAACTCTTTAACAAGAACTCCAATGCAATTAAAGTTCAGAAACCATTCTGGGCATTGTGACATTGACTCCACCAGACTGTTTGCAATAGGGAGAATTACTTGTTGAGTAATAATTTGAATTCTGTGGAGTTAGTGACTGACGAGCATTAGTTTCTTAGATACTTTTGGTCTTTGGAGATTAGGGCTTCCCAACTACATAGGCTTCTAGGCATTGAGATGAAGGAGCACTACCTTTAGAATTTGGGATTTCTGAATGTTTAAAGTTTTGCCTGTAAGCCGTGCATGTTTTTGCTGAGGTAGGGAAGAATCATTGTTGTGTTGCATCATGCAATAATGCTGCTGCAAAAGTTATTACCAAAACACGGATGCTAACTTTGTAAATTATTCTCTTAATTGAACGAATGAGTGCTGCTGTACGTTTGAGTATTACAATCGTCTCCTTTCAGTCTCTCCCTCTGTTGAAAAGGAAATATGATCTCACATATTTGGAGGACTTAACTGATTCAACTAATCGGCATCACTGGAAACTGTTCCTTTTTACTCTTTGCCAGATTAAACAGGTTTCTACTGCCCCTCAGCTGGATATTCTCACCTTTTTAATTTCTAAGGCCATACATGTGATGCCAAAGGTCAGTTGCATTGTTTTTATAAGCCTTTTGTCAGTCTACGATTTAGGAAGGTTGAAGGTGGTTTTTCTGGCCCTTGGCTCAAAGGTATCACCGGGTCCTATATATTTTGGATCCAAATTCCTTTTATTACCCAGAAATATCAGTCTTAATTCTATCGAATTCATGAGTACCTCTTCTACAGGACCTAGGAGGACAAAATTTCAAGTTGAGACGGTCCTAGTCTCTTTTATGTTTTTAAGCTTATTTAAGATGGACCGAAGCGACTTAAACCTTCCCTCTGCACCGCAACTCTCTGAACTGAAAATGATGGCTTAACCAACTACACCTTTCAGGAGGGGACCCGTTTGATGAATACATATGATACATTGCTAAAACCCCAAGTTGCCTTCGATGATTCTTTCCCTTTTTGTCAGTTGAATTTTGAGCTAAACAGCCTAAACTATGATTCACAGATGATTGATGTCGCAATTATTATATATTAACAAAAGAAGAAACCCATAAAGAACGTGGCGGCATTGTGTAATGAATATTCCAACAAATGGGACACAAAGTTGGCCTGAGCTTCAATTTGACTCAGTCGATGGCTAGCGAATAGTGATGCAGCAATGAATGGAAAAATTGTGGGCCAAAATGTCACCGCCCGCTTTTAAGTTTCAACCAACATACCCCACCATTTTTTGGAACTAACACAATATTATTTCACCAACAGTAGCTAGCACTGTACCAAATATTAATTTCACCATATCACTCTTTCTCCTGCATCATCATTTCATTAAAGGAAAGATTACATGGAGAACAAACAGTTTCTTCACTCCAAGATTTTTCTATATGGGTAACTATAAGAGAGATATTTTATTAACAAGTGACAGGGGGGGTGGGGGGGGCGCGGAGGGGGCGCGGCGCTAACAGGTGCTGTGTTAGCTATTAACACACCTGTTTCTGAATCACAATACGAGTTAAAGAAACAAAGAGGTAAAGAAGATGCAACAATGGTATCAACCTTCCTTCCTCCCTATCATCTCCTATGGGAATTAGGCAATGATTTTTGGAATCCCTCAAAGAAGTCCAACAAGTAATTCTGCAGATCATCAGGGTTGTACTTAATGTGTTTCTCACTTATGTGATTGTTGTGCCTGCCCACAAATGTCCGGTATGCCTGGAGCACCTTGAGGGAGGTGGAAATTCTCAAATCTTCTCGAAGCTGTACATCTGGGATAAGCCATGCTGTCTGTGTTTTGTAAACCTCCTCAAAAGCAATGTAAAAGCTTCTGAACTTCTCCTTGAGAAAATTCGTTGAAATGGGACCTGAGGTGGTGTTGCCGTCATCCTTTAGTAAAAGGAGAATTGAACTCCAAGTTGCTCTCTCATAGTCCATTGCATGCTGCTGGAATTTCCCGTTGTGTTTCCGGATCCACTTATCTCCAAATATAAGCCTGAGTTCCGAGTTTTTAACCTTCTGAGCCATGTAATGCATGTTGTTCATCAAAAAGAAGTGCTGCAACGAAGTATCCTTGTATAACTTGGATTTCTCATGAAGGTTGGCTTCTAGAATAGAAGTGACCGATCGGAAGTGGATGGCCATGGGGGAAGAACTGCCAGAGTAACCAATGCTTTCCTCCTCTGCAGCTGGACTCATGTCAGGCAAAGGTGAGGTTGAATCTACTTCATCCACGTCTTTGAGAAGCAAATTGAGGGTCTCACTGTAGTCAGTAAGAAGTGGGATATAATTCATGACATATCTGGTCAGATGGTGAATTCCACCTCCAGCAAAGGGGGTCGTTGATGTGTTTGAAGCAATGGCATTCTTGAATTCAAGAAATGTTGCCTTCACAGAATCACCCAATCTTCTCAGTACATCATGGCACTCAATTCTTACACGAGAACCAGCCTCATCTGGAAACAAAGCATCAATGTCTGGAAGCAAATCAGCTAGCACTTCATACATGTCAAGAATTCGAGATAATTTTTCTGGTTTGCGAGGGCCAATTAAGATAGCCTCAGTGAAGTTCAGTAACTGCTGCATTGACGCCTTTGATGCCTCAATAAAACATGATAATTTAACAGAACCAAGTTCCAGAAATATTTGATCACTAAGACCCTTCTCACTTGCAAGATACACCCGCACAAAGATCTTCATAACCCAAATCCATCTCTTGATTTTGGAATTCAGACTAGCCCACTCCATCTTCAGCACATCTTCAATGCTCACTTTCTGCATTTCAAGATTGTAGAGGCACTCATTCAAGACATCTTTTCGAACAATGACATAGGCCTGGGTACATTCATGATCATAATTTGCCTTGAACATTAAATTTGCAATGCTTCTGAGGTCAGGAATCACATCCAGATGAACCAAATCAATTACAAACTCCTCTGATGTTCTGCTGATGCTATCCCGGTGGGTTGAATCATCAACTGAGTCATCCCCAAAAGAAATTACTGAGCTCTCATCAGCAACTTCATCCTCACTTGAGCGGAAGGACATGTGCTCCAAGGGTTGCCTATTCTCGACAAGCATGTGTTTAAACTCTTCCTCCAGCCTTCCCATTGCTGTCTGAAGAACATCATGAGATCGCTGTAACAATTCCTTGTCTTTGACGCTTTGTAAATGGAGAGACTCCAATCTCTCTGTCAACTTTTGAGCTTTATCTGCAGCAATTAGATATTGAAAAGTGTCATCCGAACCAGACTCCCAAATCATAGAATGATCAGCCTCCCTATTCATGATCTTCTCCTGAACAACATTTAGTTGCTCTTCAATATCACCTAATCCCTCTCCCTCGACCATGTTATCATCAGTTGTGGCCATGCTGTACAACTGGGTGCCAAGATCTGCTAAAATTTTTCTTCCGTCTTTGGTGAGGTTCTTACTCGAGCCTAATGCCCTCACGATATGCTCTGCAGCAGCAATTAAATTTTCCTCTACTTCTAATTTTGAAATCACAGACTCACAATCCCCCTTGGCCATACTAGAACCAAAACCCCAATCAATCACAGAGCTCAACTAAGACCTACTTTTGACTCAAGGATAATAACTGAATCAGAAATGCTGGGACTGCCTTTGCAAAACCTTAACACAAGTTTCCAATATTCAACAAACAAACAAAAATATGAAACTTTTGTTTTTTTTTTTTTTTTATGAAAAACCAATCAGAACTTACCCAGATTCAGAATTTATGATCAATGAAATCTGACAAATACCCAACGGGAAAGGGGATAGAGACATCATGAAGTGACTGAGGGAAAGACCAGAAATCCAACTCAAAACAAGCACAGAAACAACAGGAATTACAATTTCGCACTGAGAATCTGAGCCGTATCTAATCAAATTCCCAACATAGAAAGAACCAGAAGAACCACTGATGAGACAAGACCCAAAAACCAGAAACTCCAAATCAGAACACCAACACAGACAAAAATACAAACTTGTAATCAAACAACATCTACAAAGAAGCTGAAAGACATAAGATAAGAGCAATCAAAGGGGAGCTTTGATCAAACCTGATAGAATGTGGGAACCCAGAAAAAGCTCTAGGAGAAAGTTTCTAACTTTGGACTGAGATTACCGAAGTAAAGATGAAGGAAAAGGTGGAGTGAACGGAGAGTACAAAGAAACTGGAGCTTTGGTCCTTTGGTGCTTGGAGGGGTTAAGAATATTTTAAAGGTTGCAGCTTTTCGGGATCTCTCATTCACCTCGGAGTTGGAGGAGTGTAACCTTCCGGTCTTTGTTTATATTACTAGGTTGTTAGGGTTGGACCAATTTGGTCTACGCCGTGGAAACTGGAAAAACAAAAACAAAGAAAATTGACAAATCCAAAGTCCGTCAAGGATATTCAAACAAAGGTGAAGTAGGATTAGTTTAACAGCGCTAGCTTTTTTCTGTATATGTAAATTTTTTAGTTTTTTAATATTTTAAAAATATATAAAATATATTTAATATTTATTATAATTAATTTTTAATATATTTTTAAAATAATGAAAAAGATATAAAAATTAAGAACTAAAAAGCTTGAAAGCATTGTCAAATGAGACCGTAATGTATAAGATGTTATACTTACACTAAATTTATAATTAAAGTTTAATATAA